GCGCGCTGGGATCACGTGGTTTACGTTCACCTCTCACGCACTGATGCCGTTTACTCAACCAACACAGCGGTTCTTGGCATCTTTTTCGAACTGTAGCTTCCTCTCAGTTTGCACAAAGTTTGTTGTAATGGCAGACGAGAATTCACGACCAGTTCGTCACAAAAGAAAGTCCGTTTTTGACATCACTGAAAGAAGAAGAGAAGGGGAAAAGGAACATTTGAAAAAGGACAAACAGTCACTGCATTTCTCTTTCTTTGGAAAATCTTCTATACAACTTTTAAAGCTCACAAGAATTAATTTTGTGTAATACAGGATGTTTAAGATGAGAAAATTCGAAACAATTATTTGCACTTAAAAGGAAATGAAATAGTAGATTTCTTGAAAAAATAATACCTTAATCCATAGATGATTTTATTTGTCAATTAAAATCAAGCAAAATATTCTTAAATGAAGTCAATTTAACCTGAACCTTTAACAGTGTACACACATGTGCTCAGAGCTCAGACACAGAGACAAACAGAGCAGAGGAGATGTTAGTAAAAGGTTTAATTGAATCTAATATTGATGAGAATGACCTCACTGTCACAGACATGACTCATACAGACTTATGCAGGCTCCACAGCTCCACTGACCTGGGAAAACACTGATATTGCTGCATATTCAGTCATCTAAAGTTCCCTGTAGAATAATAGCTTGACTTCATTCTGACTATTCTGTCCAAATTGAGTTAGTCCTATAGTTGTATTTTTTGTTTCTTAATACCTTTTTATGCTGTATCCAGATATTGTTAAGTTTGTTACATTATTTAAACAAATTTCTCTGTTTTATTTTATATCAGGGTCTGGTCAAGCTGTAACGGAGGGAAACAGGGTCAGATTTTTTACATTCAAAATAACTCTTATTCAGAAACTAGAGGGACTATTGAAATAAGTAAAGTATCAGAATGTAGGAAAGAGTTAACACTCCAACAGGGTAAAGTTAAACCTGCGATATTCTTTCAAGTTGTTGACAAAAAATGTAAAAACTCATGTCGGTAACAGAGGGAATGAAATATGCAGCACTTTTTGGGTGATAAATACAAACAGCGATAACTAGCGGTTCTCACTTACATATCCTTAACAAATTGGTTTAAATATTTGCTTCATATAGTTTTCTACCATATGGTACAAGATTAGGTTGAAAAACCTCTTACTTTTCGAGTAATGAGATTTTATATTAAGAAAGGTCATGGCAACGGAGGGAAAATTGTGCAAGCAAGTAGAAGGTGCATGATTTTGCATAATTTGTCATCTTTTTTCTTCCGAATACTTTAATATTACTTCAAAATGAAAGGTAACTATTTCTATAAAATATGTCAGTCCTTCCAAGCAAATTTTTATAATTTTTTTGGAAAAATCATGTACCTTCATCAACAGTTCAAAGATCGAATAACACAAGATATGATGAAATACATCCATTTATTTACATGATTTGCAGGTCTTTGAAATTTGGGAAATAATTTTTGTTCCATGTTTCATACATGGTCTGTTTAAAATGTATGTAACTTTAGAACCAAAAATATTACAGAAAAAAGGCAAACAGTTTAATATACTAGAGTACATATGCTATCTGTTGAATACATTTTTATATCAGATGCATTAACTTGAATTTTTGGCCTTGCTGTATAATTCTGCTTGACCAGACCCATGAGCGGTCAGAAATTTAAACCTTAAATGTCCTATATTATGCAAAATTTACTCTTGTGAGCTTTAAGTCATGCTATAATGTTGTTACATCCTCAAAAACAGACCTGGAGTTGCGTTTTGTTTCATTCACATATTTCAGTAACCCTTTGTTATTAGTCGCTCTACATCTCCAAGAAGCACTTCCTGTATTACCACATGACATTATAAGGTGGAACTGAGTGATTTCAGTTTCAGTGAAGAACTATACAGTGAAGAAATATACAGAGTTTGTGAGTTAAACATGTATAAATGAATCAAAACACAACTCCAGGTTTGTTTTTAATGAGGAAACAGCATTATAACATCAGAAAACAGTGTAGTGTGGCCCTTTTAAACCTTAATATCTCAGAAAGACCCAGGCCAGATCGCAGATAGAACCCTGTAATTGTGAGGGGATGATATTAAATTTAGGAAGCTTACCTCATATGGGCCTGGGGCGTGGTGCACAATGCTACAGTTATAATAATATCAGCGCTGACAAAAACAACAACATACTTTAATATCCAGTCTCTATATGAGTTTAGATTCTCAAGGCGATACTTATCCAGAATATAGATGATGACAAAATTATTGAGTTAATACATAAAAAAATCTGTAAAGCCTTGTATGATTGGTGACCTAGTTTTGCACATTTTTGCCAGTAGAAAGTAGAAAAACAAGTAAAAACGAATATATGTGTATAAGATTGTGCTCTGTGTTCAGTGATTTAAAATGGTCCATCCCTCACTCTTTTCATTAGGTTAAGTGATTGTTGATCTTTTAAAAAACGACCCTCTCCTCTCTGCGCTGTGATTGGCTGAATTGTAAAATGTCTCGACCAATCAGGTGGCCCTCTGCCGGGACACACTGAATTCTGCCCAGCCACAAAAAGCTTTTAATGGTTCATTATGGGATTTAGGGCAAGACTGGGAGAGAGACAACAGGGGAGGAAGGGAGAGAGGGGAGGCTGTAAAATGTGGGACAGACAAATAACTGTTTTTTACTTTTTAGAATGTATTAAATAGGCTGTTAAAGCTTTAATAAAATGTCCAAAATGATTTACACACAATCATTTTTGTTGCTGAGTTGAGTTGTTGTTGTGTTGTGCTGTCTATTGACATATATTACAATAAATATTTATGTTCTGACTTATATTTACAAGAAATAAATAAGCCTTAAGTAAAATTAATAGCTGAAGATTTAGAATATCTTGATGTGCTTCATTTCAACACTAAACAGGATAATTGTATTTTGGTAACTTAACCAAGAATCCATAACCAAACACAGACTTTGGCACTTACACAATTACACAGTTCACTTTTTAAAGAAATTGTACTTCTTGGAGTAGTTTTCAGACAGCATACTTTTACTCCTATTTGAGTAATATTTTGTTTTAAGTACAATACTCTTACTTAAATTGAGTAAAAGTCTTAGTTACTCTTCCCATTGTGAGTATAGTATTGTGTTGACAATTTTAGACCTAAATTATTTAAAATATTTGTGTTTTTTTCTTCAGATTTGATGTTTTTTGTTTTGTTTTGTTTTTTGTAAATTGTGGTCTATCAGATTTTGAGTATTCAAGGATTTGTCCTTAAAGTTAAATCAATGTCATGTCCAAACAGTTGTTTTTAATTAGGCCTAATCTTCCTGTGTAGTAGTTTTCCCATACACTTTACTCTTACTCGAGTAATTTCTTAGACTACTTGGTACTAAAAGTTCAATAAACCTATTTTAAAACAACGTTACTCATACTGGAGTACAATTCTTGGCTACTTTCCACACCTCTGCTCTGATCAAACCTGCAACTTCAGTCATCATGTCAATGTCTATGTCTCCCTCTGGTGGCAGAAATTAAACAATAGTAAAATGTAAACAAACCTTTTTTTGTTTTTGTTTGGGTAAAGGGAACGTGGATTGACACTGTCATTATATCTTTTCTCATAATTTCATTTTTCATAACCCCCAAGCAACAAATGAGTTGGAATCCAAACAACTCTAAATGTTGGAGGGTTTATGGAGATAATATGGAGATACCCACATATTCTGGTCCTGTGTGAAGTTGAATACATTTTGGACACATGTTGGATCAACAATTGGACAAATAATCGATTTTACTGTCACTCAAAATGTGATGACACATACATGGGGGTTATACCCGATTTACCAAGCAATGTCAGATATTTATTCAAAATTCTATGTGTCTGAACTAATAAGGAAATTACACTTTAATGGCTTCAACCAGACTCACCTTTGCTAGAGGACTGGCAGTGTTGGGGAGTAACAGATTACATGAACATAGTTACGTAATCAGAGTACAAATTATGAGTAATTGTATTCGGTTACATTTACTGTTTGAATGAGTGGTAATTAGATTACAGTTACTTTGTTGAAATAAATGGATTACACGGTGGTATTTTCCTGTTTTCACATTTTGGGCTAAATTCTTTCTTTTTTTTTCTTTTTTTTTTCGGTAATTCCACTCATTGCTGTACACTAAACCAGGTCTAAACCAGATCTAAACCAGGAATAAACCAGAACTAAACCAGAACTAAAATAGGACTAAAATAGGACTAAACCAGGACTAAACCAGGACTAAAACAAGGACTAAAACAGGACTAAAAGAGGACTAAAACAGGATTTTACAGGATTTTACAGGACTAAACCACGCTGTGCGGACCATGTCTCCTCTTCTATCAATAATATTTTTAATTTGGTTAAGTAAGGACTGGGCTTTCTATTGTCTTTTAGCAGACAGAACTTCTTATGTTACGATATCCTAGTCTTTGCTTCTCTACAGCAAACCAAGTAATCGGAATTAATCATATTACGTTACTCACTTTAAGTAATTTAATGGATTCCGTTACAAACTACATTTTGGGGTATGTAATCTGTAATCTGTAGGGAAATACATTTTAAAAGTCACCTTCCCAACACTAAGGACTGGCTAAAACTAATTGAGGAAACTCATCAAATGGAGCGTTTGACATACATGTTAAGGCTTCAAGCTGATGTTTATTACGCAAGATGGGCTAAATAGTGTAAATATAGCAATGAGGTTTAGCTGCTGGTTAGTTAATAAAAATTTAGTGACAAAAAAAACTAAACTTTTCAATGTAGGCCACAACAAAATATAATTAATTAGAGAAAACTGTACCTTTATTATATATTTAACTACATACAACGTGAATATAAAATATAAATTGCAGCAAAGTTGCAAGAGCCACCCGTAATCTGACGTAATACGCTCGTTTGGGTGACGCGGCACGCTTATCAGCTCTTGTCCAATCACGTGTCGGGATGAGCTGGCATTAATGACGCACGCCGGAAGTGTTTATAAACTCAGGGCTAAGGAGCTAAGCTAAAGGCTAACGCGTTGAGCAGAGGCGTCAAACAACGAGCAGCTGTCAGTGCACGATTTCACCTTTAATTGTTTAAAGTTTACAGGTCAGTCCAGTATTTTTACGCTAAGAAAATGCTTAAACAATGTTATATTAACTTAAACTGCTAAATCGAAGCTAAATGCTAAGATACTTTTGCGACAGCTTTTTGAAAACACATGAAGTTTTACTATTTACCTTGAATTTTCTCGATTAAATGCACTTCATGGCAAATGTTTACAAAGTATTCTCCATTAATAATTATTTTAGTGTTTAATCGATGGTTTTCAGTAATATTTCTTAATACTGTGTTGTCATTGGCCTAAAACAGAAGTGATTTGGCAAAAATTTAAGCGCCAAGGTAACGCGGATTTATTTGTAACTAAAATCTGCGGCTTTGGTCGGATCAAAAGTTTGGTCACATGTAGCTACTCACAGAATTGACTCATTAGACGCAGTTTAGCAAAAAAGCACAGAGTTTTGGCGCCGCCACACCCCCTTTTTTACCCTGAGTGGTCTTTTTTTCTTTTCCTGTAATAATTCTAGTTACTGAATGTACTGAATGTGCTGTACTCAGTGTTTGGAAGGTTACTTTTAAAATGTATTCCCCTACAGATTACCAATTACATACTCCAAAATGTAGTTTGTAACGTAATCCATTAAATTACTTAAAGTGAGTAACGTAATCTGAATACTTTGGATTACTTGATTTGCTGTGCTGTAGAGCAGACTAGGAAATCTTCACATAAGAAGTTTTGTCTGATAAAAGACAATAAAAAGCCCAGTGTTTACTTAACTGTATTAAAAATATTATTGATAGAAGAGGAGGAGACATGGTCCACGCAGCATGGTTTAGTCCTGGTTTAGACCTGGTTTAAACCAGTTTTAGACCTGGTTTTAGACCTGGTTTTAGACCTGGTTTTAGACCTGGTTTAAACCTAGTTTAGACCTAGTTTAGACGTGGTTTAGACCTGGTTTAGACGTGGTTTAAGACGTGGTTTAAGACGTGGTTTAAGACGTGGTTTTAGACGTAGTTTTAGACGTAGTTTTAGACGTAGTTTTAGACGTGGTTTTAGACGTGGTTTAGACCTGGTTTAGACCTGGTTTAGACCTGGTTTAGACCTGGTTTAGACCTGGTTTAGACCTGGTTTAGTGTCTGGCAATGAGTGGAATTACGAAAAAACAAAAACAGGGATATAGCCCAAAATGTGAAAACAGGAAAATACCGCCGTGTAATCAACTGTAATCCAATTATCACTCATTGAAACTGTAACTGAATACAGTTACTCATAATTTGTACTCTGATTACTTAACTCCGGTACATGTAATCTGTTACTCCCCAACACTGGCTGTACTAAACAGGAGGAAGAATCACTGGTGCTCCCAGTACATAGTCTAATCAATACATGCATAGGGTGAGCAGATTTTAATCAAAAACTGGGACATCACTAGTTTGTGGTGGTTGGTAATAATAAAATTGTGAAACGTGTGCGTGATTAAGGAAAATTGGCCCATTCATGACTAATGTGAGTCAGACTAGTCACATTTTATTTGTGTTTTGGTCATTTTTAAGCAGCTTTTCTGTATTTTACCTAAACAAATGACAATTTATACCTCTCTTTACTAGGGCCGGGTATCATTAAGAAGTTGCTGATACGATACATATGTCGACACAGTCCACTTTCGATTTAATAGGATATATTTCAAATTGATTCGATGCGGTTCAATAAAAATTATGGTTAAATTATGGCTGTTCAACTACTTGTGCAAAGTTCATATAAAACACACCATTTTAATCATCAAAATAGTGAATATGTCAAATGTGTGGCTTTTTTCCTGTAAACAAGCAACAAAACTGTAGCTGTAACAAAATAATTTAGTAAAATATACCAAAAAAATACTCACTATATGGATACAGCAGCTCACGATATCGATACTGTATCATCACATTAAAAGATACAAGATATTGAGATTTCAATATTTTTGCACACCCCTTTTCTTTACTGTTGGCAGGTATCAAATTGGTCCAAAATAAGGACACACATGGTACATTTCTTTTATAAAACTGTGACAAATCAATAGTTTTGTATGAAATCTGCTGAGACAGGGAACACAGGACTCAAAACTGGAACTGCAACTCAGGGAAATCATTTTTTACACAGCATTCTTGGCTATCACACGAATAAACTGCATTTCCTTATTTAGATCTAGATGATATCACCCTCTTGCTGGAGCTTTTTTGAGCATCGCAACCATTTCGCAAGTCTATATGACATAGTTTAACTTTAAAGTGAACAAACCGTAGACTGTGTAAAGAAGGTTTAAATGTACTCATGGAAGGAGCTGATAAACCTTTGCCAATTATTCATTTAATGTTTTATATCTTCCCCCAGGTGCAAAGATGAGTCTCCAGTGGACGGCTGTGGCTACGTTTCTTTATGTCGAAGTATTTTTAGTTTTGCTTCTGTGCATTCCATTCATCTCCCCCAAAAGGTAAGGGAACAAGAGCAAACTATAGCTCTTGTCTAAACCAAGAAAAATGCAGCAGGATCAGAATCACAGATTGGGAACCACTCCTGCAAAAGACCAAAATGGGCCTAGAGAGGATAAACTGTTTTTCCTTGAACAAATAGCTCTTTCTTGTGCCTGGTCTGTAAATAGTATGTAGCTAAATGCATGTGTGTGACCTGTGCAGTAAATAGAGTTATCTACTGTGGTATCTCAAACCAAGAAAGCCTTATCTCTCTCACACTGAGCTCTAAGGACACAATCACAGCCCTCTTTGACTTTAAGGGTTTAGTACATTTGAACCATAGACTGTATACAGAAGTGGATTAAGAGAGTGTGACATCACCTACAGTGTTTGGCTCCAGTCAAATGAAGCTCATAATGGAAGCAGGTAAAGAGCAGGTTAATACGGAAAATTTAAGACAAAAATGACGAGGCTCACTGCAGCAGTTGCAAAGAGAGGGATGACAGTTTTTCATTGTAAAGTCAGTTGTAGCCAGAGTCAAAGGAGCTGGAAGGGCCCCCATGAACACGTTCTATTTGGAAAATGATGGCTAGTGGGTTTTATACAGTCATTTTATACATTTATACAGTCTATGATTTGAACTCAACTTTTAACATTGTCATCGGAACATGTGGTGTCAGTTTAAGATAAAAAGCTTTAGGCTCACTCGTACAGAACTACTAGTGGTTTACATCAAGTACTTTAAAAAGTGCCCAGACTAAAATGTTAGTGGTTAGGACTTTCTGTATTTCTCCGTGTCTGGGTGGGTTTGATTTGGGCACTCTGGTTTCCCGCATCAACCCAAAACATGCACAATAGGTAAAATCTTTCAGCTGAGGTAGTCCTGACCAAGACAAGCTCAAGACCTGCACATCGTCACTAGGCGGTGTACTGCACTGTCTTGCTCCTGACACGATGCTCCAGTGGCATTGAAGGATTGGTCAACTTCCCCTATGGGCACAATAAAGTGTACCTTAACCTCAATTAATTGTATTGTGTACAACAAAAGTATGTTAAAAAACAAACTACAAAAGTAGTTCCAGAGCAGGTTAGGAGACATCACTATATTCTCCCCTTGTAAACTTTGTATCTCTTGTTTTAGATGGAGTAAGATCTTCAAGTCTCGTCTGGTGCAGACCATCGCTCTCTATGGAAACACCTGGTTCATGGTGGCCATCGCCATCTTGGTCTTCCTCCTCATCGGTGAGAGTTTCCTTCTTTTGTTCCTTATCCTGTATTTGTAAACCCTTATATGCTGGACTGGGCAGCAACGATATCACAACTATGATGTATACAACTTGTTTAAGTGCATTTAGTAATATTTCTTTAGTGTAATTCTTTTCTCCGTGGAGATATTAATTGCTTTGTTTGGAAAGTTTCACAGTATGGTATTAAACCTTTCTTTGTTCATGGAGACCAGGTCAGATCTGTAGCGAGACAATCTCACTGTCAGAATACCTATTTGTCTAGGAGCTGTAATACCACCTGTGATTTAATAAATGTAAGGTAGAGCTTTTTAATGTCATACTGTGGAACATTCCAGGCAAAGATATGGCATATCCTTAGGAGCCAGCAGGTGATGGGCCCCAAACAAACCAAAAAGATACATAGTGCACCTTGACTGACTGACACAACAGATCGTCTGTGTCTTGCGGTGCAATGGAGATTCTGATTTGAGATTTTGGACATTAAAGCCAAATAGGGAATATAATTTATAGTGTAGTATTATTGTTATAATTTAGTGCTACAAATCAAACACCCAATATAAAATGCAGGTGAAACTGTGAAATATGTTTAATAAAGTAAACATTCTTTCTTCTCAGATGCGTTCAGGGAAGTGAGGAAATACAGCGTCACAGAGAAAGTGGATCTGACTAACAATCCCACGGCCATTGAACACATCCACATGAAACTTTTCCGAGCCCAGAGGAACGAGTACATCGCAGGATTCGCTTTACTCCTCTGTCTGTGAGTGAACTGAACACCAACCAGCCACAAGTTCCAGCACATCACTATGGTTACCACTAAACCACACACCTCTGTGATATACAGGCAAATAGAGACCATGCAAATTATGTCAGATGGATCATGAGTTATATCAATGAAAATTTAGTTACAGATTAGTTTCAGTGACAAATTTCAGTTCCAGTAGTTCAAACCTTTGCCCCATGCTTATGTAAAATGAGAGTTAAGTACTATTATTACAACAGTATTTGGAATGTCCACCAGCGAACAGTGGGCCAATCACTGAGTACAGCAGGAGGAAAAGGCTTTAAAGGTTCTATGTTACGAACTGGCTCAGAGTTCGAACCAGAGGGAGTCACACATGTTTAAAAATGTTTACAAAAATAGGTATTTATTTAAAAACAAGGTGCTAACAAAGTTATGGCTGCATGGTGGAGAGAAGAGAGCAGTCTCCAGCAGCCAGCTTTTAAAGGTGGTATGCCACGCCCTCAACCAGATTCAGCTCGTTGGGTTGACCCTCCCACTCTCTGGAATCTGGAAGGGAGGGGGGAGAGGAGCAGCAGCAGCAGCAAGCAGCAGCAGCACAAGCACACCCACAAAATACAAGCTGGGGTCGTAACCTCTTATATTACCATATTTTCTGCACTATTAGGAGCTCTGGATTATGAGGCGCACTGTCATAGAATGGTCTATTTTCGAACTTTTTTCGCAAATAAACCGCACCGGACTTTAAATGAAACACAACAGTTAGATGGTTCAGTAGGACTTTGTTTGGCGCGTTCACGGTGACTCTCGGCTTTGTTCAGTTGTGGCGTGTAGGGAGGGTGCTGTCTGGTACCGCTGGATTGTTGGCGTGTTCGCAGTGACTCTGTTGTGGCTAGAACTGGCACATTGCACTTGCTTTTTCGGTTCGTTCCTCCGTTACATTCCTCGTCCATATGGAGTGATGAGTGTGGCTGCGGGTGTTTTTCGCTGCGCGATCGCTGTCTGCTCCATGCGTGGTTGCGTGCGCTGTGGGTGGTGCAGCTTTGTAGTTTACTGAAGTCGTGCTGGGACACCCAAGTGGATTCGTGTATAGGACGCTCTGGTTTGCGGAGCGCACAGTTGTTTTTGATTGGGTTGGAGGCTTAAGAGCTCGCCCAATAGCCCAGAAAATATGGTACCTAATAGTGACTCTTGTGAGTTTGTTTTGTTTCATTCACACATGTTTGAGTAATCCTTTATTATTAGTCTGTCTACGTCTCCAAAGCTCGAAATGCTCTGTTTTCCTTGTGATGTTATCTAGTTATAGCTTTCAAGTTAACAGCTACCAGTTTACTGTTTATTCAAAAGAGATGAACAACAGAAGATGTTTTGAAAACAAAGTGGAGCACTTCCTATATTACCGCATGTCGTCCCAAGGTGGATCAGAGTGTTTTCTGTTTGAGAGAAAAACTGCTTAATATGCAGAGTTTGAATGAAAAAAACACAACTCCAGGTCTGTTTGTGATGAGAAAACAACATTATAACATAGATCAGAAAATAGAGTAAAAATAGCCCCTTAAGAGAAACTTCAGTTGAGTTTTCTGATTGTACAAAAAATTAAAATGTGTTACTGTACAATACAAAAGTTTAAAATGAGTTGAAGCACTATTTTGGATCTCTTCATGCAGTTAATTCCTTTGTGCCCACATGAGGGAGCTGTCTCTCTTTGTCCTGCAGCAGTGAGTCAGACTCATGAGCTCCTCAGCTGTCCCTTCAGCTCTTCTATTCCTCTGTATCCAGTGTCTGTGTGCACATAATCTCTTTTAGTGTTACTGTAAAGTGATGAAATGTTTGTCATCTCATACTAAGCCCACAACAGCTGAGCAGTCTTCTCTCCTTTCCTCCATTCATCTGGCCTCTCCCTCCATCTGTCTCTCTCTCCTTCTCTCCTGTTGTTGTGAATGGACTCTAGGTTCACTCCTGGTTTTACTGAAGATGTAGAATGTGTTCTGTCAGCTCTTACTGCATCCATCCCCCCCTTACTCATTCAGACTCACAGTCCACAAATATTATCACCATTTGTAAAGGATCTGTTTAACCCCCTGACCTCTGGCTGAGTCAGAGTCATGAGGGCACATACAGAGACTTCCCCAGATCTGTCAAACCTTCAACGGATTCAAACAAAATCCACTTTGTTCTGTTGATAAAATGTGCGATAGAAATAGTTTCCAAAGTGCTGCTCATGTAAAGATGACATTAAAAACAACAAAAGGTATTAAAAAACAGCAGAGGGTGTAACACTAGTATTTTTTTAAAGATGCACTGTGCAACTTTTCTGGTGGAGGGTCAGTTAACTGTCTTCATGTCTAGAATATTCCACAGTACAGATTACACCTATCTATCACGAAGGAGACCAGCAAATTACAGTACTACACTACATTACAGGTCAGGTCTGTGGAGAGTCAGAAAAATAATTATTGTAGTTTTGAGCATTAAAAACATAATTGTAATGAATAATAATGAATAAATGGATATGTTTAATGTCAAAGCAATAACACAGGGGTGTCCAAACTTTTTTCATCAATGGCCACATATCTAAACACAGATGAAGCAGAGGGCCAATCGAGGGCTGTAGACTGGTGCTCAGTACAGTGAATAATTGAAATATGTGCATGTTTAACACATTAGAATGAGCCCTCAGTCTTTATTCATGCTAGAAACTAAAATAATCCAGTTTTGTTCTGCATAAAAACTCCAAACCCTGTAGTTTAGCTCTGTACAAACATGTTCTGAAATGTGATTCTTGTATTCGTTCATATTTCAGTTTTTTGTCAATTCTTCTGGATATGTTTTTAATGGTGGCCTTTAAAGAATATTATTATTAGAATTATTATTAAAACTTAAATCACAGATGTGAAAGTGTAATCACAATGCTTGTCAGAAAGTTGATACCTTTCTAGAGCTGTACAGCCCTATGTATTATCTAGGATAGTTTCTAATAGTAAGTAAGGCTATACATATTGACCTGGTTTCAAATAGTTTCAGAATCTTTACTCAAGATATATACATCATTTTTTTTAAATGGTACCACAAAAAATTTAACAGCACTATAAGATTAGTACCCATGTTTTCTTTTCTGAACCTGGTGCATTAAGGAAAAGGACAAAAAACTGTATATAACCTGACCTCATTTCTATTAAACATTCCAGACGTTTAGAATGTGATGAGTGTGATGTTATCTGAACACACAAGCCCAGGACTTTTCAACACTTCAGTGAATCAGCTCTGGATCAGCCTGTATTGATGTCAGTGACTCCTGATCCTGCACTGTCAGGCAGATAGTTTGTGTGGCCTAAAAACCTCTGAATCATTATTGGAGAATCCTTTGCTCCATTTCAGTGCAGACTACATGAAGAAATAACTGTTCTAAGCACTTTTAAGGCTTAGTTCTTTGGATTAAGTTTCATCAAGGACATTTTAAGAGGAAAAAGTAGCATATTAACAGTTTTGTTGCCTCCACAAAATATTGCAATAAATGGATATCATTACATCCCTTATCATGAGCCTCCCGAACATATCGTGAGCTTTCCCACAGTATTGCAATAAATATCGTACTGTGAGGTTCATACTGTGACGATATCGTATCGTGAGACTTGGATTTTGTTACACCCCTAAGAATAACCCTAAAGCAGGATCATCCCAAAAATCTCTGTACTCTTAGTATTTAAAGTATATAAGTCATAGAAGTCCTTTATTCCACACTGAACAGCTCAACATTTGCTTCTGCTGGCATGTATTGAACGATGATGCCTGTAGTTAATTTCAGTTGAGTTTATTTGCCATCTGCAGTATAATTACACAATGGAAAAAGGGTGCGAGAAGCCCATTCACCCATTTAAACAGACACATTAAAACATATTAAACCATAGACTATATATAAATGGCATGCGGGCGCTTCTGGCTCTTTCTGACCCTGGCCCCCATTGACTTACATTGGAATATTGTGGCTCCTCTCTGAAACTGATGCTCTGAGCCTCATCATTTTGGTCTTAAAATGTTCATATTATCTCACTGTACATGATCCTGGTGTTTTTTATTTTGCTATTTTGCCAGTTAAAAAAAAAAATCCTATTCAGCCGCAGGGTCTTAAAAGTCTTTAAAAAGGTCTTAACTTATGTTGTCCAAGTCTTATTTTTTTCACTAAGGCCTTCAATTTCATTAGCCTTTTTTTGGTATACTCAAGTGCAATGTTAAATGGAGGGAGGAAAAAAACAACACAAGTGTGAAATCATGTAATGTGAATGAACGTCTAATGTGGAATGGAGGAAGACATTGGATGGATCATGGGGAAGTGAAGGTTTAATCCAGAGTGGCTCTTGGATTCTAGATATAGTACCACAGTTGGTTGGTCATTATGAGAATTGGATCTGGTGTTTTTTGCCCGCATAATGGGTGTGATGTTGGTCTTAAAAAGGTCTTTAAAGTATTAAATTTTGGGTAATCAAACCTGGGGATACCCTGCTATTCCTAATATGGACCTGACTCTAAATTCACTTCTGTAATTGCTAGCCTCATGAACTTCATTTGACTGGAACTGAACTCTATGGGTGACGTCACACTCATTTATACAGTCTATGATTAAAACACAAACCACATAATATAAACATTACATAATTTAGACAAAGATACACAAAATAAAGTTTCTGCTGCCGTCTTAAAGTGCATTGTTTAAACTTGCACTCAGCCTATCCAGTCATAAAACTTTATTACGTGGTCATACCAGCTCGTCAAAGTCTGATTTCGTCTGATCTCAGAAGCTAAACCAGGTCAGGTCTGGGTAGTACTTGGATGGCAAAATTGTGAATACCAGGTGCGACAATGGGGAGCTAACCCAGCTCGAACCGCTCTATGTAAAACTGATCCATTCTTCTTCTCCCTATTTGGGTCGAGCTCTGTCCTTCAAACCTGGCCAAACTTGCCTTTAGTGCTCCGTCCACTGCCTGCTGTCTCCTGTCTTCACCATACAGAGTCTAAATATATGAGCATCACTTCACCACCTCCTCGCTGACCGTAACAAAACCCTTATGCAGTATTCTAGTGCAGAGGAATGGGGTCAGAAATGCCCTGTGTCCTGGGGGATGTGTGTCTGCCTGTCACTGAGCCTCTCTGTACAGTAAGATGCAGGAATCTAAATGTGTGAGAGACAGTGAGGTAATTGGACTCCATTATGTCAGTGGGCCAGGGTCAGAAAGCCCCTGTGTGTTTTTGTTATGTCAGAGCTGTGTAGCCTGTTATGTATTATATTTGTCAAGGTTATTTCACAGTGCAGATCTTAAACTTGAGTAGCCTTCCACTCTTGAGTATTACAACTAATCAACGAATTTCTTTCAGGATAATAGAGAGACAGATGTACTTTATCTAACTCTGTCTGTCTGCAGAGATTTACTCCACTGACCAGACTTTAGTTCATCTTTAGATATTTTTATCCACAGGTTGGGTCATCTTTGCAGATAAATGGCCTTAAAACAAGAAGAAATGCAAATACGTGTTCATATATTACAAATTATAAATAAATCTTTACACAATGCATCTTTAACTCATGTAACTTTTCTGGTGGAAGGTCCATCACCTACTTGTTTCTATAAATATGTCATTGCTCTGCCTGGAATGTTCCACAGTATGACATTAAACAGCTCTACCTTACATTTATTAAATTACAGATGGGTTTTATAGCTCAAAAATAGCTAGCAAAACAGGCATTCTGACTGTGAGTGGTGTCACCTCTCCATAGATCTGGCCTGTAACTTGGTCTGGTTTGGTCTCCATGATGATGAAAATTTAGTACCATACTGTGAAACAATCCAGACAAAGCAAAAATATCTCCATGAAGAAAAGCATTTGACAGACCCTCCACCAGAAAAAATACACAATGCACCTAGTAATGCAAGAATTTTAATCCATGTACAGTATATTTAACCTCAACATAAATGGTTGAGAGTCTAGGTAGAGCCCTGCACCCGCTGGACCCAAAGCAAAACATTGCAGTGCGGGACACATTTTGAAAGCTCATTGCGGGCGCGGGCAGGAGCGGGACTGCACAATGTGGGAGTGGGCAGGTGGGATGATGAACTGCAGTCCCTCAAACTAAATATGAGTGTAAAGTAAAATATACAAATGATTAATGTATGTCTATCATACATCAGTTGTGCTGGATATTTTATTTAGCATTATAAAAATATTTTAAGCAGCCTAAATTTGCAGATGTGGTCTAATCTCGTGCACATGTTAAGACAATTCCTCCCCCTTCTCCGTGTTTGGTAGAGCTTAAGAAAGCGAATGTCTGTATCTTTGGGGACTTGCAGGCGGGAGCGGGACTGTCCTGCGCAGACCTCTAATTCCAGTTTTGGTTTATTTTTAGTTTAGTTTAGTCCTACTGTTGATTTGTGGTGCATAGTAGGCAAAAAAATAAACACTATTCTCGTAATGAAAGGGCTCTCTTCACCGTGATTGGTTGAAACTGACTGTCACTCAGAGTATGATCGAGACTGACCAATAGGATCGTGACCGTGGGACCCTGGCTGTGACTGTGGGGAATTGTCTTTGTGAGCCTAGAGCTTCCTTAGACCGAAAAACAGTGAAGATTGTAAAGAGAGTGAGTTTAATACCATACTGTGTAACATTCTAGACCAATCAAAGCTTCTCTATGCAGATGCTCTACCAGGAAAGTTCCATAGTGCTGGTGTAATATGGCTATGTTGGCTTTCCCTAAATGTTGTCCTTGTTTAGTCCTGACTCAGATCTGTTTCTCTCCAGGCTGCTGCGTCGACTGGCCACCCTCCTGTCCCAGCAGGCCTCTCTGATGGCGTCCAACGAGGCCTTCCAGAAACAGGCCGAAGGAGCGAGCGCCGCCGCCAAGAAGTTTATGGATGAGAATGAGCTTCTGCAGGAGGTGAGGCATACCACAGGCTTATGCTGTTGGGCTGGTTTACATTTACTAGACCTGCCTGAAGGGGTTTAGTCATAAAGCATGATTTTTCTGTTGTTTCATGTTTAATGTTTCTCCATGTATTTTTCTGCATCTTAAGCGTGTGGATTTGAAGGTAAAAACTCTTTTAATACTTGCAATACAAACACATAGACTTGTCAGTAGAGCACGACACAATTTTGTTACTCCTCCAAAGTCTCAAACCTCAACCCTCCTTGTTAAACTGCAGTCCCCTTTGTCAACAGCAGGTGGCAGCATTGCTCCGTCTCCAGATGTTTAGATGGTCCACTACAGATGCATACATTACACGCTGCAGTTCCTCTTGTCTCCTGTGGGGAGCAGCATTGATCTGTTTATTTGTTTTTCTCCATTAATTGGAATTCAGAGAAGTGTACTGAGAAAAGATTGAAACAGGCAGAACATTCTTGTACAGTATGATTGGATCAGACAGTTCCTCTAGGCTCCAGTGTGTGGCAATAGCTTCAGACTCTGGCAACTTTAATTACACTTTTGACTACATTGCGCCAGATTATCAAATCACAAAAGCTCCAGTAATTTCAATGATGTCCTCTGCAAACAGGAAAACATCATGTAGACCGATCCCGCTGATGAACACTAGAAGAATGATCTTGTATCCGTGCTTTTGACCTCTACAATCTAAACTAAATGACATTCTTGTACTAGTTTGTCACTTCATATTTCAGTCTTCTCTTAAATAGGAGTGTGCAAAAATATTGAAATACCGATATATCATGTTGTTTTAATGTGATGATACAGTATCGATATCATGGACTGCTATATCAATATATCGCCAAGAGTATTTTTTTGGTATATTTTACTAAATTATTTTGTTACAGTGCTACAGTTTAGTTGCTTGTTTAGAGGAAGCAAACTCAGTTATGCGACACATTTGACATTTTCACTGTTTTGATTATTAAATTGGGTGTGTTTCATATGAACTTTGCACAAGAAGTGAGTTAACAAAGACTTTGTATCACAGCCATAGCCTTTATTTTTTATTGACCTGTATCGAATCAGTTTGAAAAATATCACATTGACTCGAAATTGCACTGTGTCGAGAGATGTATCGTATCTGCAACTTCTTGATGATACTCAGCCCTACTCTTAAATGTTATGCTCCTGGACTTCTTTACAATGTGTACTCTACTTTTAAAACAAAAAACTCAAATCTAACTCCAATTACAATACATGTTTGAAAAGTCTTTAGATTTACAGATGTACTCCTTCATGCTTAGATTAGTTTATAACCTGCACAAATTCTACTTTACATATATTAAAATAATGTAGTTTTCCTCTTGTCCAGTCTCTATAGTCCTGTAGACTCAGTCCCATTGAGCACCTGTTTCCTTGGAGATAACTTTGCCTGAAATGTTCCACAGTATAACATAAAGCATATCTATCTGTGATTTCGTGTTTTTACTGCTAAAAAGACAATTTTCTTGTCATAGCTGCCCTGGGACAGACCTTAAACCTGACTGCTGACTCCTGAATCCCACACCAACAGCAGTTCCCCCTGTGTCCTGTAGGTGGCAGTGTGTAGTTAGTGCCACTTTGGTGTGAATAGATGAAATGGAGCCAGTTCTAAATGTAACCTGTGCATCAGTTTCATGTGACTCTTATTCACCGCTGTCTGTCACATACCAGCGCTTTATTTACAGTCTACTCAACATTTCCTACATTTCAGTGACTTTTATTCTGTTTGCTCAGAGTCTTTTAGGGGGAACAGAGGCAGCTAAGATAGAAGCAAAGTCAAAGTTTGGGAAATACTGATTAATGCAGCGTTTTCCAATTTCCAACAACTTTTAACGGTGCATTGCGCAACTTTTCTGGTGGTGTTTCCATCACTTGCTTATCTCCATGGAGATGTTATTGCTTTGTCTGGAATGTTTCACAGTAGAGCTGGATATTACTAAGAAGTTGCCGATACTATACATACTTCGATACATAGGCCACGATATGATACATATCTCGATACAGTGCACTTTTGATTCGATATATTTCAAGTATATTTCAAGTTGATTTGTTGTGGTTCATTCAAAAGTAAAGGCTAAATCATGGGTGTGATTCTAAAAGTCTGTGTTAAACCACTTCTTGTGCAAAGTTAAACTGAAACGCGCCCATTTTAATCATCAAAACAGTAAAAATGTCAAATGTGTCGCATAAATGAGTTTCATTCCTCTGAGCAAGCAACAAAACTGTAGCACTGTAACAAAATTATTTAGTAAAATATACCAAAAAATTGTCTTGGCAATATATCGATACAGCAGCCCCGATATCGATACTGTATCATCACATTAAACTATACAATATATTGATTTTCCTACACTGTAGAGATTAAACCTGTCTATCTCAAGGGAAACGACTATAGGCTACATTACAGGTCAGATCAGTGGAGAGTCGCCCCTATTCACAAAGAGATTTATTGTTTTTTTTTTGAGCAACAGAAAGACACATGTAATAAATGTTAGATGTTTATTGTCATACGTTGGAACTTTCCAGAAAAAGCAATAACATTTCCATGGAGACAAGCAGGTGACAGACCCTCCACCAGAAAAGCTGCGCAGTGCCCCTTTTTAAATGATAAAATATAAGTGTGTATCATCAAAGCATCCAAAGTGGTGGTAGTAGACTCTATAACCGAGAGAGCAAAGATGAGGATTTCTTGTCTTTCCACTCTGTTAAATGTTAAAGGTCCTATATTACACAAATTGACTCTTGTGAGCTTTTTGTCATGCTATAATGCTGTTGCCTCCTCAGAAACACACCTGGAGTTGTGTTTTGTTTAACTCACACATGTTTGAGTAATCATTTATTAGTCTGTCTACATCTCCAAAGCTCAAAATGCTCTGTTTCACCTTGTTTTCAAGTTAACAGTGACATTTTACATTTTGAAATAGTCAAAATTAGGAGTATGCGAAAGTATTAAAATATCGATCTATTGTATTGTTTAATGTGATAATACAGTATCGATATCTTGGGCTGCTGTATTCATATATCGCCAGAGTATTTTTTTGTATATTTTACTAAATTATTTTGTTACAGCATGACAGTTTCTTTCCATTTAACAAGCAACAAAACTAATTTACGCAACACATTTGACATTTTCACTGTTCTGATGATTAAAATGGGTGTGTTTCATAATAACTTTTCACAAAGAGTGGTTCAACGAAGACTTTTAGTGTCACAGCCATGATTTAATCTTTATTTTTTATTGAACCGTATTGAATCGAAAGCTCACTGTATCATGGCCTATGTGTCATGTTGCCAAGGTCTTGAGACTCAGCCCTAGTCCAAATGATTCTCGTGAATGTTTACGGAGTTTAAAAACAGTGGAGCACTTCTTGACATTGCAAGGTGGAACAGAGTGCTCTCCGTTTGTGACCGGCACATCGTGATACTACCAAATTCATGGAAATGCACTTTGCCCTGGTAATGAGCCTTTTAATCTTGGCTTCATTTAAAGAAGTTGTGTTAGCGCTGTATAAAAATAACACATCTGCTCTCATCAGCCTAGTAATAATCTTGTTAATGAGTGTGTGTTTGTGTGTGTGCGTGTGTGTAGATCTGTGTGTATCTGTTGTTGTGTCAAAGTCGTGTTTCCTCTTTGACACTGAGGAGAGCCCTGTTTGATTGGAGTTAAATATACCGGAGGAAAGTATGAGCTGTTCCCCTTTGCGATGCGATCCTGACACTTTACAACTGGCATCACTTACATCAGCAGTGTGCACATGGGCAGGGAGTGTGCACGTGGGCGGGCGGGGGGTACAGGGAGGGTCTTCTTGGAATCATAACTTCACCTGGTCATGGCCATAACTTGGCAGCACACAAGGCGAAGATGTTTAAAGGGTCAATACTAAGCTATTTTCTTATCTGTTTTAATGCTGTTTCCTCATCACCAACAGACCTGGAGTTGTGTTTTGTTTCATTCACATGTTAAACACACAAACCCTGCTCATTTAGAACACTCAATTCCACCTTGTGATGTCATGTGGTAATACAGGAAGTGCTTCACTGTGTTTTTAAACTCCACACACCTTCACTAGAGCCATCTGGATGATTTTCAGCCTTGGAATTGCTCATCTCTACTAAACTAAAGGTAAAAGGTGCTGTTAACATGAAAACTACAGTTTCATGACATCACATAGTGGAACAGAGCATTTTGAGGTTTGAAGATGTAAACGGACTAATAATAAAGTGTTACTCAAACATGTGTGAATGAAACGAAACGCGACTTCAGGTCTGTTTTTGAGGAGGTAACAGCATTAAAACATGGCTTAAAGCTCACAAGAGTCAAATTTGCGTAATATAGGATCTTTATAAACTGAATAGTTTTAAATTATCTTACCATATTGTAATGTTCAGGGTTCCCACGGTCATGAAAACCCTGGAATAGTCGTGGAAATTGAAAATGTCATTCCATGCCTAGAAAAGTCCTGGAATTTTGTGTCTCTTTCATGCAACTACAGCGTTCTGTTAAGTTTTCATTAGGCTATTATGATTATTTCTGAATGTATGCGCTTTTTGTTTAAAAGACACGACAATAAATGCACTGACAGTATTTTGAATGTTAAAAATCTATAATTCCAAACCATAAGGTGAGTGGAAAGGCTTAACATTTCATATTTAGCCCTAAAAGTCTGATCAATTCTCCACATGTAGGTGATGTAAAGCCATGGAAAAATTTTGAAATTTTGTCAGTGAAAATGAGTGGGAACCCTAAATATTACTACCCGTGTCTGATTTTACATCTGTGGATTGCAGTAGAGTGTTAAGTTTGTGTATCATGAACTTTACACACCAAGTTCACTTTACACAGACATGTCCAGGGGCATTAACATGTGAGAGAAGACTGAAATATGAACCGCGAAACTAATTCAAGAATCCCAGGCATTTCAGAACATGACGGGAGACGAGATCTGTAAACATTGATTGTAATAAATCTAGCTCTAGTGAGGCCTTTCAGACGAGAGTGTGGAGTCGCAGGTCTGGTTCTGGCTTTAATGTTGTCCTATTTGTAGAGGGGAACATGTGACTTTAAACTTGGGTCACCTTCCATCAGTTGACCTTTGACCTGTGAGCTAAGATTATATAAGAGTTGGATATTTGTGTTTTTCAATAGAAGACCACACTCCTTCTTTATAGATGCTGTGGCAAGGTTCTGTGTGGTAACAGGGACGGCATCTGGCATAAAGCCCCAATGGGACTTTACACAGTTGTATCATGCACACACTTGTACATTAATCATTAGTCCTGTGATGTGTGACCTATTATATATTTTTATGACCGTCACTTTAACACTTTAAACTCACCTAGAAATTAATCTGGAGCAGATCACCTGATAACAGCGGTGTGTGTGCTCCACTGCTCGGCCTTCAGCCTGCAGAATTCAAATCCTATAAGAACACTTTCTCCATATTAGGCCGGGGATATGGCACGCACTGGATAATTACAATTTTAATTGAGTTTGATTGTTTTTATGGTTCAGTCAGGGCAAGCTCTTTACATTTTCCATTCTTATCATATGCTCTTATGTAAGAACTGGTAAACTGCCTTCAGTTACATGTTAATAGATACTTAATCTAATGATAATGGTTTAAAATAAAATGTTTTACAATGTCAATTGTTTAATTGCACCATAACACTGCTTTACAAATCAGGAGGAAACCTGTTTCATAATAATCCTCAATTTTATAATTTTAATAATTGAAAATTAGAAAAACACAAATTAATCAAATGAATTGGATTAATTGCCCAGCCCTAGCTCCATATCTCTGTGGTACAGATGCAGATTTTTTGGGGTTGAGTTGTAAATGCTCTGACAGGTCCAGAAATTCTTAACTTAAATTAACTTTATCAGTGAGGGTTTCGCATCTTATTTTTTCTCCTGGAATGTTTCCCAGTATGGCATTAAACATATCCATATAGTTTAAGGTAAGCTTAAGGTCTCCTTATTGTCCTCACAGGGACATTTGTCCTTTGTGCTCTTTGATCCGGCTCCTTTTAATGCCACTTTTGACCCATCTCCAGATCTTGAGCTAATCTCAAACCTGGAACCTTCCAGTGAGTGGGTGTTACTTGGGCACAGAGCTGACCTTTAACTTGGCCTGGAAGCATCGCCTGCTTTTGTCCATAGAGATAGATGGGGTTAATGCCATACTGTGGAACATTCTTGGCAAAGAAATTACATTTTTGTGGACACAAGCAATTGGCCCCCTCAGAAGTGCTTTTTAAAGAATCTCTGCTTTTATAGTCTGCTTTTAAAATGGTCAGGAAATGTTCTAATCAATTACAAATCACTTGAATATACAACATTATTCAGAAATTCGTAGTTCAAACAAAAGGAGACATTTTATAGGGATACATTATCATCCAGAGCTTTAACTGCTGTTTACGAGTGAGACTTGGAGCAGAGCCGACCCCACACATACATGTCCATGAAACTCGAACCTGCCTGTAGAGCTAACTGCAGCAGCACTTTGTGAGTTTATCAAAGGGACTAAATCTGGACCTGGGCCTTACTCTGGTCTGGACCTGGGTCTAACTCTGGTCTGGACCTGGTTCAGTGCAGTAAAATCTGGTTTATGAGCGCCTTGGCATCACAACTGCTACTGTCAGTCTGCTCACACTCGTGCTCCCTTCACTGTGAATCCTCTGTTCTGTCTTCCGTTCATCTTCACACATGTTTACTGTCTCTTATCTGTGCTACTTTATATCAATGTAGACAAAATATCCCAAATATCCATCAAAAAAGTAAACGGTTGAATGGTTCTAGTATAAGAGGCAGTAATGAAACAATAGTATTGTCCATAGTTACAGCAGCAGCAGCAGTGTCTCAGTGCAGTAGGTCATTTGGACTTCTGGAGTTCTTCATAATATTTATATAAGATTGGGTCTTGCGTTTACTCCTGGTCAGTCTGGTACTTTCCAGGCAGCTGTGGTCAGAAGAGCGTTTGGTATTCGCACCTGTCTGTGCGGCCGGGTGGAGTCATGCCTCTCTACTGTATATGAGAACATACAGTCAGGAGCCGCTGACCTACTTTCATAGACGGATCTCTGGAATCATGTTTTTCTACTTAACCGTGAAATAGCTCCAGTGACTGAAGGAATCAGCAGCAGCATCTGGAAAACATGTGGACTGCAGCTGTGACCTGTATTCCTGTTATTACTACTGCTACTATGGTTACTTAAAATACTTCACTGTAACTGTAGAAACAGCCGGAGCCCAGAGGCCTGTGTGTAATCTTCACTGACGGGTTAATAAGTTTATAATATATTATAACTTAGTATAAGATGTGTTCATTTGTATATTCATGAACTGTAAGCAGCTGCTCTGTCTTCCTGTGTAGAAGCTGCGCGAGGCGGGAATCGAGATCCCAGAGCCAGGAAAAGCTGCCGGGCTCCAGGAGGAGAACAAGAACCTGAAATCTGAACTGAAGACGATCAAAGAGGAACTGGACTCTTCCAAGAAAGGTATGAATCAAGTCACTTTTATACCCAGAACCAGAACCAGAGGATAACCCAGACCAGTACAAACTGGAGTTTGGTTGGGTTTTGGTGTGAGTCACATTTTAATCACAATTTAATTTAAATTACTTTTAAGCTTAAGTCATTAATACAATTTGTAACAAGAGAACAGCTCTATCATAGAGGCGGACTGGACTATTCCGGGCCTGTTTTTCAATGAAGCCTTTTTAACTGTGAAAAACACATTTTTCGATTTCATAACTGGTCATTGGGCACATGCCCAAACATTCAGGTGTGAGTAGGTCAGGCAGCAGCCAGCGCTTGAATGAATCCAGTCTCTGAGTGTTTTGGTTTACTCTGTTCCCAGTCTGGAGCCAGCACCACTGACCTGAGCTGAACTGAACAAATATAATAAATATAATATTTGTGTGCATGAAAACGGCTAAACTGAGTTTGACTTAAACCGGTCTGAACCCGATCTAATGATGTTGTGTTGTTGTAGCTCTACAGAAGTCTGACAGTGACGTCCGTGCGATGAAGAAACAGGCCGAGAACCTCACAGTGGAGTACGACCGACTGCTGGAGGAGCACAGCAAACTACTGGTGCGAAAATACAAAATGATTTTCTAAGCAGATGTAGCGTGAAATGGGGAAAGAAGATAGAGACATTTGTCAAACTCTCGTGGCCAGGGGGCAAACCCACAGAAACACTTTAAACACACAATTCCACTTATATATAAATCTATAGAAGGCTCTTTTTTTCAAGGTCAAGTCCATACACTGTCAGACTGACACCCGACTCCCCTTAACCTGTATCAGTGTCTTTTAGCTGACAGATGTGCTGCTCATTGGCCATTTCTGAAAAGTCAGCAAACTAAAGCATCATTTAGAAGAGGTTTTGATGTCAAATACACAAAAAAGGGAAAGATTAGAATAACAAAAATAACCTTTGGATAGATGCCTGTGTTTGACAGGACTATTGTCTTGGTCGTCCTGATTTCCTCGAACGGTCCACATTACATAACATTTCCTGTATATGTAAATACAGTAGTGAGTATATTTACTGCAGCAGTACTGGTGTAAGAGCAGCTGCCGGGGTCTGGTTTCTCTGAGCTGGGACAACTTTATAAATACTCCACTGTATACAGAGTGGGCACAGGCTGGGCACTGAGTGGGCACTCTAATGCAAAAGACGAGCAGGCACGAGGCTAAACTGGGAGCATCGTCAATATTGAACTGTCAAATGACATTACAACATCAGTGGACTACATGAAGAGGAGCCCTTCATATTTTTATTTAAAATATAGAGCATTTTAAAGGGCCTATATTACACTATTTTCTAATCCATGACATGTTTCCTCATCAAAAACATACCTGGAGGTTTATTTTGTTTCATTCACACACGTTTAAGTCTTGCAGATTTCGGTTCGTTCTTCTCTCAGACTGAAAACAGTCTGTTCCACCTTGTGATGTCATGTGGTAATACAGGAAGTGCTCCATTGTGTTTTTAAACTCTATTCACCTTCACTAGCATTATTTGGATGATTTCAGCCTTGGTTGTCACTTACTACCAAACAAAAGGTAAAAAGCAGCTTGTTAAACTAGAACGTCATGACAGCACAAGGTGGATCAGAACATTTTGAGCATTGAAGATGTGGACAGACTAGTAATACAGGATTACTCAAACGTGTGAATTTAACAAAACACAACTCTGGGTGTGTTTTTGATGAGGAAACAACATTATGTCATGGATCAGAAAATAGTGTAATAAAAGTTGCAGGCTTTGCAGTTTTGAAATTGTGTCCATTCAAATTGTGATTTTGATTTATGTATTTAATATGAATAAGTCTTTATGTATATAGCGCTTTTAACTGACATTTTCTGTTCACCAAAGACACTTTACAGAGCATTATTCAGCATTATTCATTCACTCTATAACCTGGTGATGGTAAGCTACTATTGTAGCCACAGCTGCCCTGGGGCACACTGACAGAAGCGCGGTGCCATTGGTCCCTCCGACCACCATCATCACCATCACTCACACCACACACACTACTTTCATACTAGGCAATGTGGGTGAAGTGTCTTGCCTAAGGACACACAATGATTGAATTGATTGTATTTAACTGACCTTGACTATTAACTGTTCATGGAGACCTGGAGCATGTTTTGGGTTGATGGGGGAAACCGGAGCGCCCGGAGGAAACCCATCCAGACACGGGGAGAAACATGCAAACGCCACACAGAAAGGCCCGGGCGACCTGGGGATCAAACCTTCTTGCTGTGAGGCATGAGTGCTAGCCACTCAGCCACCATGCCGCCAAACTTGAATTTTATTCAGTTCAAGTTTGTTTGTATAGCACATTTAAAACAACTTCAGCTGATCAAAGTGCTTCACATAAAAGCCCATAAACACAGAAGAAACAGTTAAATATATATACATATACACAGATAACATGTGAAAACTACAATAAAAACGCCAAGATAACCTGACTAGCTCGTACTAAATACTAGTACAGTCATTTTGATTTAAAGATCCAATATTACACAAATTTGACTCTTGTGAGATTTAAGGAATGTTATAATGTTGTTACCTCCTCAAAAACAAACCTGCAGTTGTGTTTTGTTTCAGTCACACATATTTGCATAATTCTTTATTGTTAGTCTGTCCACATCTCCACGACATCACAAGGTGGAACAGAGCATTTTGAGCTTTGAAGTAGTAGTTTTCAAGTGAACAGCTACATTTTTACCTTTTTAAGTTCAGTAGAGATTGGCAATTCCAGAGCTGAAATTATCCCAATGATCCTAGTGAAGGTGTGTGGAGTTTAAAAACACAGTGGAGCTCTTCCTGTAGTAACACATGACATCAAAAGGTGGGAGTGTTTTGCGTTTGAGAGAAGATTTCTGCAGAGTTAAATATGTGTGAATGAAACAAAACACAACTCCAGGTGTGTTTTATGATGAGGAAACATCACAACATGCCTTAAATCTCACAAAAGTCAATTTTGCGTAATAAAGGATCTTTAACCAATTAAATTAGAAAATAGTTAAAAACAGAAAATGGTGTATTGTGATATGGCAAGTAATAAAGCTAATGTAAGTGTTTTTTTTTTCTTTTCTAGGCAACAAGTGACAAAAAATCCGACTGAAGCTTCAAACTCCTTGTGTCTGCTTTTCCGCCCGACAACCGCATGTGTCATTGCTCCTCTGCGCTCTGATTGGTTCAAAACGGACTCATCACTTTTATTATCAGACTTTTGGAGTGGACCAGTTCTCTGACGGGCTTTTCTCTGAAGGTTCCTTTTTATTTTAGGAAATGTCGTTTTGGTTTGTTCAAGATGTAAAGGTTTGAATTGGAGCGGTTTAGTCTCACTTCTTTCACGTTTACGGTTTTGTGAATGTTCAGTTTTTATGCTTTATTCTCTTCACGGTTTGTTTTTAGATGACTTTGTCTTTTTTTATTTCTTTTTCAAATAATATTCCTCACTGAGTTACACTTTTCTTATCCACATTCCAAAAAAAAGTCACAGAATGTTTAATTTGTATTTTGTTTGTTAGATTTTAAGATCTAAACAGAAACGACGACCTTTCCATATTCAAAGTTTTTCCTCCTACAAGGACTCACTTTTTTTTTTGGGGAGTTTGAAGCTTTAAAGGTACGTTGTGTAACTTCTGGTGGAGGGTCTGTCAAATGCTTTTCGCTTGTCACAGTAATTTTTGAGCTATAACGCCACCTGTAATCCAATAAATGCAATGTAGAGCTGTTTAATGTCATTCTGGCAGAGCAATGACATATCCATAGAAACAAGCAGGTGACAAACCTCCAACCAAAAAGTTACACAGTGCACCTTTTAAAACTGAAAGTATTGTAATTAATCTTTCCGAAAGTTGAAAGACCAAAGCCCAAATCACGTTTTCTTGAAATGGTTCTCGTCATGTTCGGTTCTAAACAGTAAAACGGTGAACTGAGTTTAGAGCATCATGTTTCATTCCACTGTAAAAAGCGCTGGTTTTCAAAATCAAATAAACTGTTTAAAAATGTTCTGGCTTTTACTAATTCTGTCTTGAATTTAGAACAATGTACTATATATACAAAAGTAGAATTTTAAATTGAGGAGTTTTAAACCTTTAAAGCTACAATCTGCTGTATAATATTTATTTGATAAATGATAAGTTGTGTTATGTTTCAACAACAAATAATAGGTGCATAAAGGCACTTATTTTACATGACTAATCATAAATATAACTACATTTATTTGATTTAAATTTTTTACTTGTAGATGGCCTGTCCCACCTGCCATCACCCCTCACCTGGCCTTTGTTTCTGCTCACCTTTCTGGTCTCCTGTCAGGACAAAGCTGGTACACTGTGTGCAGTAACATGGAGGGCATCTAGTGGTGATATGAGAGAATACATCTGGGTCAGCTCGGCCAGTTTACAGATGGTTGCTTTGGCAGAGAGAGAGTTTGGCTGCACCAATATTTCCACTGTGCTTGTCAGTGGCCTTTGTGTGTCACTCAAACACAAGGACTGGTCGGGGGGGTCAGCAGATCTGTGTCAAGGGAGTTTGAGTGTTCGAGGAGAGGAGGAGCCAAAAGTGTCTCTCCTTTGTGTTCTCCAGCATCACAGCAGCCTGCAGGGGGCGCCACATGAACACAACAGAAAAGGCCTCGGATTTTGCAGTGAACCATTCCATCACCAGCCCAAACACCAGAGCAAAGTGTTTCCTCTGGAAGGTCTTCTTCCACATTTGCTGTCATATTTGCTGTAAAAAGCCTGTAGCTTCTCAAATGTTCAGAGCCTGCCTTCATAGCTTCTTGGCACAATCTCCATGGATACAGGAAAAAAACAAACAGTTCATTTCACAAAATCCATCATTCTTTTACTTGTGTCCTGTGAGCTGCACATGCTGTACTTCATAGTTGGATAAAATCCAGTGATATGATGTTAAAAACTGAGCTCAACAGACAAAAAGTTTCAAACACTGCTCAGAGCCAAGTGCGTAAATGCATGAAATTATTTGGCCAAGATTATGTTTATGCTAATATAGGATCATATTTTGTTCATTTAAGGCAAAATTGTTTCATTTTCAGGTTTATTCTTGGTTTAGTCCTGGTTCACTCAGTCTCACAAAGCTCCAAACATCTGTAGTTGTCTTTTCCTCAGAATCCTGAAAGTTCAGGTTCTTGATTCACAGATCTGAAACTGAAGACTCGACTTAAAGGTTGTATGGAGGATTTTTTTTTGTTTCAAATTGTCAATGATAGCATTATAGAGATGCAGTAGCCTTGTAATTATGATGACCAAAAAAAAGAGAATAAAAATTCATCAACTCTGGACGTGGTGGGGCCAGCTAAACATTTGCCAATAGATAACGACACTGCCTCGTTATCTGTTAGCTGACAGGCTGTCAATCGATCTCCCTACGTTTCTAGCGTAACTGACTTGCCTGCGCGCCGCCGGTACGTGGTTTACGTACGCCTGTCACGCAGTCCACAGACGCAAGCCGCACAGACGCTGTTTACTCCACCAACGCAACAGTTCTTAGCGGCTTTTTTTGACCTATATCTTCCTCGCAGTTCGCACAAAGTTTGTTGCAATGGCGACAAGAATCCTGGAGCAGTTAGCCGCAAAAGAAAGTCCGTTTTTGAGGTCGCTGAAAGAAGAAGACAAGGGGAAAAGCAGCGAAGCCAAACTGAGGTGATTCTTATAGATTCATTCCAGCGATGGCGCAACTGAAGCAGACGCAGGGTCTAAAGACTGACGCATTGGTCGCCAAATTACTCCTGGACAGGTAACTTCTGCTTATTATGAAAACGTACTTTATTTCCAAGAGCTAGTCAAACGTTTTTCAGGACACGAAAGCGATATCCTATGTCTGAAAACGTAATTTTCAAGGCAAAGAAAGAGTCCGCTTGCTGCTGCGTGTTGCAGCTAGTTCATTCGCACGGAATCTCCGCGCAACCTTCTCTGCACCCCTTTCCTGCTCCTGTCCCCGCTGCCCGTTCCGCTCTTCCCCCTGCTCCTCACTTCTCCGGGCACGGAATCTCTGCACACCGCTCCCCTCTCCTCTCCCCTCTCCCTGCTCCCTGCTCCGCTCTTCTTCCTGCTCCTCACTTCTCGTCCGCGCACGAAATGTCTGCACACCCGCTCCCCCCGCTCCTCACTTCTCCGCCTTGCCTAACCAACACTGTAGTTAGTTGTTTACAAGTCATGTGCAGCACCGGCTGTAAACAAACCTGTTTCTGGCGTAAAGAGGAGGCGGGAGAAGGCGTTTCTACGTAGGGACCTGTAGGGGAGGGGGGGTGGTTTCACGCATGCAACCTTTAAAGGTTTTATAGAGGATTTTCCAAGGAACGAGAAATCCAGCAACTGTTTGTCCTTTTTCAAATGTTGCGCATGCGTGAAACCACCCCCCCTCCCCTACAGCTCCTACGTAGAAACGCCTCCTCCCACCTCCTCCTTACGCCAGAAACAGGTTTGTTTACAGCCGGTGAGCTGCACATGACCAATGCATCAGTCTTTAGACCCTTCGTCTGCTTCAGTTCCATCGCTGGAATGAATCTTCAAGAATCACCTTAGTTTGGCTTCGCTGCTTTTCCCCTTGTCTTCTTCTTTCAGCAATCTCAAAAACTGGACTTTCTTTTGCGGCTAACTGCTCCTGGATTCTTGTCGCCATTGCAACAAACTTTGTGCTAACTGCGAGGAAGATATAGGTCAAAAAAAGCCGCTAAGAACTGTTGCGTTGGTGGAGTAAACAGCGTCTGTGCGTCTTGCGTCTGTGGACTGCGTGACAGTCGTACGTAAACCACGTACCAGCGGCGCGCAGGCAAGTCAGTTACGCTAGAAACGTAGGGAGTTTGATTGACAGCCTGTCAGCTAACAGATAACGAGGCAGTGTCATTATCTATTGGCAAATGTTTAGCCCCACCACGTCCAGAGTTGATGAATTTTTATTCTCTTTTTTTTGGTCATCATAATTACAAGGCTACTGCATCTCTATAATGCTATCATTGACAATTTGAAACCAAAAAAAATCCTCCATACAACCTTTAAGACTCTGGACCAACAGCTGCAACAAGAGCGGTCTAAAATTAGACCGAGACCAGAGATCAGACCAAAACCAGTTCATACAGTGGGTAAGTACCAATCAGAAAGTCAGTGGTTTGAACCTAAGCTCATGTCTTTGTTCTGTCTCTTTGCAAGACCCTTAGCCACATTTTTAGGTGTTTGCTCTGCCTTGAATGTTCCACAATATGGCATTAAAGTTATCCATCCAGCCTCATTATAATACAGCTGTGAAAAAACATACATCCTTACTTATGTTGTCATTTGCTTGTCTCCACAGAGATAGACAAGTTCAATGCCATGCTGTAGAACATTCTAGCAAAACAACTATTCAGTTTTATCAGAAAACATTTGGAAACATGCGTCATCACAATCTGCCAAAGTTTTCCATCGGGGACAGAACTCGAATCGGATCTTCTACATCACTTACAGGAAGCTGACTGCAACTGTTGATCAGCCAAACATTTTTATTAAGTTAGACAATCTATAATACACGAATTAATAGGCAATTTATGAAAGAATAACTGAAAGAATACAATGACATCTAGTTGAAGAAAACCAGGCCATTTTCTCAGTTTTCCGAGATTAACCCTGCGTTCAATTATCTTCCAACTCCCAGTTGGACCTCGGATTTGACGTCACGTCCGAGCTTGAAGTGTATTATTATGTTTTGCGTGTCGGACTCCGGTCAAATCCAGTATTTGTTCAATAATGGCCTCACCACAACTACCAAACCCACAGCCAGTGATACAGATGCAGTAAGGTTTTGCAGTGATATGAGTGACTGAAATTGTCCTTTAAACCACCAAAGTCCAAACACAATGAAAACACTTCATACTTACACGTCACAGTGGGCCTAGCCATCTTGGATTGTGACTCGGAATTCTTGCTACTTTTTCCGCCATCGACGTCCGAGTCATGTCATCCTAGGAAAAGGGGCGTGTCACACAACTTCCTCGGAAAACTAATTCGGAAAGACAATCGAACGCAGGGTTACTACTGCCAACAGAGCCTGCCGGAAGTCATCATCCGCATGTTTCCAAACGTCTTCTGGTTCTGTGACGTAAGCATGAATAGAGCCCATAACATCTCCATGGAAACGGGCATGCAAATTACATAGTGTAACTTTTAAGAGGAATTCATTCAGTTTTATTTAAAAATATTATATTATGCAAAACTGGGTGTTGTGAGCTTTTAGCCATGTGAAGCCAAAGTTGTTACTTCATCAAAACATATGGGCCATTTCACCTCAGTTCACCCAAAATTGCAGTTTGAACCCTCACATTGTCCAGCTGCAAAGAAAATTGGTGTATGGGTAAGTCATAGCCAAGAAAGTCAAAACCTCAAATTTTAGGATGATGCGTACACTCTGAATGGATATTTGTCTTATGATGGGGGTGAGTCAAGGTTTAGGTAAATTTGTGTGAAAATAAAAAAGAAAACCCCTCCAGATTTTTTATATGTTGTAGCAGACATATAGGGCAACATTTTTTCTATTGGTGTCATTTCAGTTTCAAGGCCAAGATATTGGTCAAAAGGTAATTCTTCTCAAAAGTTCTCAAATGCAACAATAAATGCAATAAATAGATTTGGATTCTTTATGATTTCCCCTTTCCAGTGATACCTTGGTTTTCTATATTGGACCAGTTTTGCTGAGTAAATGCAATTTGAAATTCGGTGACCACGCAAAAAAGTGAAAATATTTAATTGCAATATCTCGGAAACCGTTTCTAAATAAAATTTGAATGATTTACCTATATACTGAGTTTCATAAAAAAGTTGACAAAGTAGGCATTGGGAGAACTGAGGTGGACTGACCCAGACCTGGAGTAGTGTTTTGTTTCATTCACACGTTTCAGTAATCCTTTATTATATGTCTGTCTACATTTCTTAAACTCAAAATGCTCTCTTCCACCTTGTGATGTCATGAACTGGTAGTTTTCAGTAGAGACTGGAGCATATCTGGAAGTATTTCTCAAAATGACTGAAGTGTAAACATTTGTAAACATTTGTTCAGCGTAAATAAAGCACGGAGAGTTTGTTGTGAGGTTAGTTTATTGCATGTTTTAGTCTGAGGTTATCACAGTTGCACACAAAATGGAGGCCCTCGAGGGGTCAGAGGTCAATGGTGACATCATCAGGACTCAACGTCAAAGCCACAGTACGCCATGTTTGTAGTTCTTTTCTGTTTGAATCCCGCTGAATTTCCTGACTAGATCTGAACGTTTCTCGTGGATTTCTATGCGCTGCTTTGACTTTAAAGGTGCACTGTGGGACTTTTCTGGTAGAGGGTCCACCACCTGCTTGTCTCCATGGCGATGTGATTGTTTTGTTTTGCATTTAGGTGTTTTTATTGCTGAAACTACAATGAAAAGCGAGCGTTTTTATGATAAATGGGACGCCTCTCCACATTTCTGACCTGTATTTTTGTCTAGTTTTGTTTCTAGTTAGATGAGTTTAATGCTTTATTATGGAACATTCCAGACAACAGCTTCATGGAGACGAGCAGTGCACCTTTAAATCTTTTTTTTTTTTTTTTTCTCCAGCTGGTGATGTGAATACGTTGAGTCCTGATTTTTACAGATGAAACTACAATACACAAACAACTCATGGAAGACTTTTTTCACATTTAGACGATTACAGTAAATTCTGTGTTCCAGTTTAACCAAATCTTTGAACCAAAAATCTACAAAATAACAAATATTGCTCAAATTCTGATCCAAATCCGGCAAAAAAAAGTAAATTTGATATCTGACTATGTGTTTTCTGTATTTAAGTATCAATGACTTTTATAAGAGACTTTTTAGTTTAAATTATTTCTTTACTTTTGTATTTACTTTCAGTTCAAAGATTCGATCATTGTACAGGTATTTTTGGTGAAAAGCACAAGACAAAATGATATCTGATTG